CTCTGTTCTGTTCCATTGGTCTATATGTCTGTTCTTGTGCCAGTACCAGGCAGTTTTGAGAACTGTGGCTTTGTAATACAGCTTGATATCTGGTATTGTGATTCCTCCAACTTTGTTCTTATTTCTCAGATTGTTCTGGCTATTCAGGGTTTTTTGTTATTCCAGATGAGTTTTTGGAGAGTTTGTTCTAGATATTTGAAATATGCCATTGGTATTTTAATGGGGATTGCATTGAATATGTAGATTGCTTTGGGTAGTATGGACATTTTAATGATGTTAATTCTACCAATCCATGAACATGGTATGTTCTTCCATTTGTTTATATCTTCCTATCTCTTTTTTCAATGTCCTATAGTTTTCAGAGTACAAGCCTTTTACATCCTTAGTTAAGTTTATTCCTAGGTATCTTAATTTTTTTGGTGCAATGGTAAGTGGGATTGTTTTTTTCATTTATCTTTCTGTGAGTTCATTATTGGTGTAAAAAGGCCATAGGTTTCTGGGTGTTAATTTTGTATCCTGCTACATTGCCGAATTCATTAATTCTGTCTAGTAGTTTTTTGATGGAGTCTTTGGGGTTTTGTATGTATAATACCATGTCTATCTTTGGTACTATTATTGAACCATACTATCAATGCCTAGAAAAAGTTTAAAAGAAGCAAAACAATGCACAAAATCTAAATATTATAAGTTCAATATATATATATTTGCATGTAAATGTATAACTATTTCTTGAAAGAAAATATAAAGAATATATAAATTTCAATAAAAACCTGTGTTTAATTCCATATCAAATATGGAAAATATTGAAAAGAAATTGGGGCAAATGGAAAAAGAAACAAGTTACTTCCTTATCTCATATAAGCAAGAAATAAAGTATCATATTTGTCTGAAATTTGATGATATAAACATAATCTCAAGTGTGTGCAATGGGGTGCACTGAATTTCCCCACTCCCTCTTAACCCCATGCACAAAAGTCTCTTTAGAGGCAATGTGGTGTAGTGAATAAATATCAGTTTAGTTTTGGATTAAATATTCCTAGTTCTAATCCTAACTGTGACATTTTCTGTGTGGTATTTGAGAAGTTTAAATTTCTTAGAACGTAATTTCTCTGATATATAAACTGGCCTTTATAACTTGCTGTGAAGAATTGCTGGGGAAACTGGAAATAATATATGTAAAGTGCCTAGCCCAGTGCCTGGTCCATACTATGTGCTCAATAAAACTGGGAGCATTTGTTTGTAATGTTGGGTTCTTGTCAAGGTTTTTATTATTGTCCTCTTCCAAGCTCTACTCAAGATAAGATCTGTGGCTTCAATATACTTTGGAAGAAAACTCAACACCTGTTCAAGTGCTGGGTATTCAGCAAATATGACATTTAAGACAAAAACTATAATATGAACTGCTTTTTCAGTACTGTTAACTATTTCTACTGTTCAGGTGATTGTGAGAAAATAATATGGGCAAATTTTCCAAAAGGAAGAACAGTGCACTCTTCAAAGATCATTATCAGTTGACCACAGTGGTTGATGGGGTTCAGCCTGCTGGACAAAAATCTCCCTTAGACTCAATGTCTTAGTGAAAATTAAATAGAGTTAGTGTGTAATAATAGCACATCAAGAAAGCCTCTACTGATATAGGGTGCGCACCTGAGAGCTGATTTAGTGATTGGGATATTTGTGGACAGGCTGACTAGGAGAAATGGCAGCAAGTCCATAGATCCAGGTTTCTCACCTACCTGGTTGATGATGAGGTAAGTCATGTTCTTCGGGAGGAACTAAGGGAGGAGGTACTGGGCACCTGTGTTTACTCACCTGTGCCTCTGATCTTGGGTATGTCCTCTGTCTCCTCATTGGTTGGTTTTGAATTAAAATGAAGACTATGCCATATTCTCTCCATGTTACAAAATCTAGCCTAGCCACATCATTACCTGTTAAGAAAAAATAAACCTGTCTAAGTGTCAATAATTTCTACCCCAATAAATTGACGGCTGAGCACTTTACTAATACTAATAAGAAAATAAAGAGCAAGTTAGTACCATTCGCTCTCAAGACAATAAGTTATTTTAATAATTCACTCTCTAGGCAATATCACAATATTTTAACTGCAAGGTCATCATAATATTTTTAAAAATATATAAGGAACTCTGAGGTGGACATTTTTTCCAAACGTCTTCTTACTAAGAATATAAAAACATTCCAAACTAAAAAGAATGATTCGTGAAACCTGAGCTGGAGACTTTATTTTATTACATAATTTCAGAGAGTGACATGGTTGCCTCAATCTGGGAAAGCTTTCAGAACTCTGGTGTGAGGGGCCTCTCAAACCCCCCTTCCCCTCAAGACCTAGCACCCCTGTGTTCACACTGGGGCACTTGGCAGCAGACTATGATCTAGAAGGCAATCAAGGAAAGTGGCTATTAAAAGCTCATGGGCTTACCAGAGGGAGAAAAATGACTTTTGCTAAAAGCAAAATCTCTAAAAGCCCTGAAGCTATTTCCCCCTTGACCTACATGTATGGCCCTGCATATGCATATTCACAATTTTCCCCTGATTTTTTTTTGGGGGGGGGGCGGTAATAATCTTTACACACATTTAAATTTAACACTTGATGAGCACTTAAATGGCTGAGTTAAACAAGAAGTCACTTGAGCAATTTTGGCTCCTTGCCATTCCTTGGAATTTCATCAGTGGCAGAATAACTTGCAGGACAAAAGCCAACCACTAATTGTTTTATTTAATTAGGCCACTTGGAAGGTGAATTAAACAGCAGCCTGCAGACCCTGCTTCTCTGCCTCCCCTCACCTGGAGAGGATGGCTTGTGTTGGCCCCTATTTTTCCAGAACCTCTGCAATATTGGACCATGGAATTGGTATGGGACTCGCTAGGGTCTTCACACCATTTAGCTTTTATTTCGGCATTTTCAGGAGCACTTCTCAGGTGGCTCCTCATTTTCCCTGTTGCTCTGCTCCATGATAGGTGAAAGCTGGCCTTTCCCTTTCTGCAGCCAAGTAGAAGGTTGCAAGTCACCATGAATCTGTCAAAAGCCTGTTGTTTTTAGTGGTGGTGCATTTGTGGACATTGTCTGACGGCTAAGGGAGCGAGTGCCATTGATGAATTCTCCTCTCTGCCACCCACAAGACAGGAAAAGAAAGTGCTCAGCCGTTGATTTATCATACACTTGAAATGACAATGGAAAACAGCATTTTTTGTGGCACATTAGAATCACACCCGGAACTGCTCTGACAGCGTGAATCCTCTGGAAGTCACCAGGTAATAAGGGCCCGCATGTTCTGGGACAACAATGTTTGCCTTTTTCTCATGTCAGGGATGCGATGTGAGCCCGTGGCTTCTCTGAGCACCAATAAGAGGCACAAATGACCAACTGGAATACTTACAACTTGGCTTAGCCCAATGTAATGAGTTCTCTTAATCACCATTTTAAAATAGCTTCTCAATATTCACCCAAATGTAACCTAATTGCATTTAAATATTGGGAAGGAAGCAATGGCTGAATGAGGCCAAATCCTTAGGCAGGTTGCTAACGGGATTGTGGAGTCCATGATCCCTGATAAACTCTCCTGACGTCTCAGTGGTGGATCTCAGATTTGGATCTCAGGCCAGGTGAGGTGGGAAGTTGTGTGAGGGAGTTTTTTGTACAAGTCTGCGTCACCATTTCCATAGAAACTGTAACTTTACCCTCTAATTTGAGTGTGTGTTCCCTGAGTACACTAGGTTGGGGGCCCTACCCTGAACCTTATCTTCATAAAGTATAAAGAATACTTTTCCCACCGTCTGGCCCCATTCCTGCATTTCAGATAAGTTGCAAGACTTGCCTGTGGGCCTACACCACAGAAGGTGGCAGCAGGGTAAGGACTATGGGCAGGGCTGTCACCTACCAATCTGGTGTCACATTGGTTGTGTTTTGTTGTTTCCTTCCCCACCCCCACTATAATCCTAACTCTATCAGCTGCTTCTGTGATTCCGCACAAGCCAAGAATGAAGTGTGGGTGAAGGTCGTGTGAGTGTGTGTGTGTTGGGGGATCCTCATCTATGCATTCACTTGCATAGGTCCTGCAAGTAGTGACCCAACGTTAACAACATCCTCCAGAGTAACCAACGTCAGCGACTGTTTGCTACGCAACATTATTACTTATGTAACTGACTTTCCTTGGCTCATAAATTATGTTCCTTTCATTTAAATCTGGGTGGTTTACTACTATGATGGCTGGCAAAAGTGATTTCCCCAGAGGGCAGGCAACAGAGAGAAACTACTCCTTCATCAGGGAAGATAAATGAGGTTCAACTATCAGCAAAGATGGATAAAGGGGACCATGGTCATGGCAGCCAATCATTATCCCAGTTCCTTTCTTGCCGGAGGACACCACTGGGTTCAATGCCTTAAGATACACAATAGAATGATGATAGCTTGTGTTTGAGACATAAAGAAGCCAGGTATTGTGCTAAACATTTTAAGTACATAAGTGTATTTTTAAATCCTCACTCTAGCTAAAGGGATGTATATTATTATAGGCACTATTTAGCAGTTTAGAAAAATGTGGCTCAAAAAAGGCCATTCTCTTGTTGAAGGTCTCTCAGAAACAGAAAATCTGGCATTGAACTTGGGCTATTTGACCCCAAATCCTATGTTTATGGCCATCACACTCTGACTTGAGAAATTGCTGATACAGGCATCCAACTTCACAACTAAAGACATGCAAACCCAGAAGGACAGTGTCATGAAAGAGAACTGCTACCAACCTGTAGGTGAAGGACCTGCCTTTCAGTCCTGGGTTGCCCCACACTGGCCGTCAATCTTGGGCAACTCGCCTATTCCCTGTGGCTTCCTCATTCTCATCTGTAAAACAAAGGTGTTGGATCATGCGATTTCTATGATCTCTTCCCATTCTAACTTTCTGGAGTTTGTAATGGAGTCAAGGGCAGAAGACAGTTCAGGAGACTTTGAGTTCAATGTGGATGTCACAACATGAGATTGCCTGCTTGTACAGAACAATGTACAAACCATTAATCCCAAGTTGTATGATGAAAGAACTTTTAAAGAGCACTTACTTACATTGTAAATTATTTTTCTTCTTATATGGTGCTTATTGAATAAAAATATACTCAAAAATAAAAATTTAAAAATAAAACATGAGTCACCTATGATTTTATCACATTTCATATATATCACACTTAATGGTTTGGTGAATATATTTCCAGGCCACCTCCTCCTCCCTTTTTTGGTACTCATGTATGCAGGATTTTTTAAAACAAGTATGTGATATCATATAACCTGTTTTTGATTCCTAATATACAGTGCACATTAATAGTCTAATATATAAAATACAGCTATAATAGTTGCATAGTATTCCACTCAATGAATGCAAAATAATTTATGTAATCTCTGCTTTGTTCCTTCCATTTTATAAAATTATTTTATTTCATTTTCTTCACTATTATAAGTAACTTGACAGATATATTTACAGTTAATTATTTATACATACATACAGACTTCATTGGAATAAAAGAACACAATATAAATGCTATATTAAAGACTGTGTACTTTTTAAATGATTTTAGATACATCCTGGTGAAACCTCTGCAGAAAGATGTATTTGTTTCCATTTTCATCAGCAGCAGAGGAGAGTGCCTATTCTCCCAAACCCTCAGCAACACTCAGTATTATTTTAGCAAGTCCTGCCAAACCTTGTTGACTTCTCAGTGTGCCTTTAAGGTAGGAACACAGGAGGGTTGGAGCACAGCCAGACTAGCTGGGTGGAGTTGGGGCCCTGCTGCTTGCTACTCTGTTACCTTTGGCAACTAACCTCTCTGTGCCTATAAAATGGACCCCAAAATAGGAACTATCCTGTAGGGTTACATGTCATATGAAGTGACCTACTTAATGGAAGTAGAACAATGCCTGCACATAGTTAAGAAATATTTTAATTATTAGCTATTGTTATTATTATTTCATTACAAATAAATTTGACCACTTTAATAAGCATGTCACTTGACTTCTTTGAGCCATTCTTTCTTCATTGGTAAATTAAATATTTGGACGCACTGGATTATTTCTAAGGCCATTTAGGATCCAGCATTTTGCATGTCAATGAGGGTTCAAACTAGAGAATGTATATATTTGAAAGAGAAGAGGAAAGTGTACCAAGAAATGGAGTTAACACCGTCTTCACTAGATTTAACAATCTGTGCCATAGACTTACAGTAGTTTCTTATTCAATAAAGAAAAACAACAACAATAATTATGAAAATAACATCAAATTAGCCTTCAACCAATAGGACTGCATTCATATGAGTGTCTTCATTCTTTTATTAATGGGAGTTAAAAATTAAAACATTCTATACTCTGTTCATCTAATATCTGGCTTTTCAGATGTAGCAAAAACTGCAGCAGAATTCTGAGTTTTAAAGGAAAGGATAAGAAATCAATAGAGCAAGGGGGATATTGCCATAGAAGTGATGGCTCTGCTGTGTTTATTCAGAGCCAGAGTGGGTCCCATTTAGCTCATTTCTGTACGAAAATGAAAGTCATCAGCCTCAGTGCATGCAACCATTAGCTACCTCTCCAAAGTGCTGCATTTCAGGAAGGTCAGAGAGCCAGCCCAGGGCAACAAGAATTTCGCAAGTGATGTGTGTCACATTTGCATATGATAATTAGTTTCTCTATAAATACAATTTGTTCTGCAGATTAACATTTTGTGTCCTCATTAGATAGCAAACATTTCCATATTAAACCCACAAAGCCGCCAGAGTTGGCTTCTGCTTGCTTTGCATGATAGCATTAATACCTCTGTTTATACTGATGCCAATTAGTAGTGCTAAGTCTTGAAAGAATAAGGAGGATCACTAATGTTATTAATATAAATAGTAATAATAATGCCGAGAAGCTTTTGCAAACCTTGTTAACTTCAAAGATCATTAGCAGTAAAGTACCTCCGGGCTGTAAATGGCTGTGTTCTTGGGCACGTCAAGCATCGGCGTGTCTAGAGCGCTTTGCTCTCTACACTGGTACTGCTCCTGGCTTACAATGTGGCTCTTAAAAGATCTGCGCCCTGTAAAGAGTAGCATCCAATGAAAACATTGTTTTCTTTTGCTAAATGCCTTTCGTCCAATAAGGAAGTCGGAAGGGCTCTCGCTAGGAGAAATAATTTGCTCAACTTGTTCAGCTCAGTGCAGTTTGCTCTCATTCCTGAGGCCAACTTCTCCAAGGCGGGAGGTGAGGTGTTTGACGGTCCCATAAAAGGGTTTTATAAAGCGGGGTGCCCCAGAATGACTGATGACTCAGATTTCACTGGAGCAGAGTGAGCGGTTCTCTGTCGCAGGGAGTGTTGAGCGACATAGAAGATGCTGGTGGACACACGCGGTGTGGGAGAGTGTTCATCATTTTCCCCATTATTATTGACCTGAAATGGAGTGGAGGAGGCTGCTGCAGAGACACCGTGCATTGTGGAGCGCCAGTTCTGCAGCTGAAAGGACTAATCTGATGTGAGGACTAATGGTCACTTACCCTTATCTCAGTGACAGGGGAGGGATGACCCTGTAGTCACTGTTGATAACAGTTTCTGCAGAAATCAACTCGCTTCACTTCCCTGCATTAGTTTCTTCTTTGATGGGCTAATATACTTAGATTCAGCATTTTTTTTTAAAGTATTGGTTAAGGCATTAAACATAGTAAACTCAAATGTAAATACTGTGCTAATGAAGTTTGGACAGTGATACAAGGAAATGATACTAAAATGCGGAATATTGTATCATTTCAGATGCCAGGCTTAGAAGTTAGATAAAAGTAGCTTTGTTTCACAGCTCTGCCATTTCCTAGAGGTGTAATTTCAGATAAGAGTGTTTCTCTAAGTCTTAATTTTCTCATCTGTAAAACGAGAATAAAGATTGTACCAATTGCACAGTTTATGAAGATTAAATGAGTTACCCCAGGGTTAACACAGGTGCTGACCATACAACAGACTCCAAAGATAGAAAGAATTGTTACCATTATTGCTTATAATCACATTTCCTGATGCTGGAGGAATAACAGTAACAAACAGCATCTCCCTTAGTGGAAGTATAAGAACTCTAGTCCTACCCAGAGGCCACTCACATGTGCCCGATGCATAACTCTCTCCTCTGAGCTACCACCAAGTGCAATATCACCTGCCCCTCTGATGGTGTTTTCTCCACCATGTCTCCATCCTCACTCCTGCCTGGCCGTAGAGCTATGCTGTCTTGTCCAGCCTAATATGACATGCTAAAATCTCTCCCACACTTCATTTCATGTGGTGCACAATATCACCCAAATGTCTAGACAATGTCACCTTGATTTTCTGTTAACCAAAGATTTTTTGTGAAGTTGGCCTTTGATTCTCAGTATTCCTTTTCCCCAAGTTGGCACAAGTTCCAAGCTAGAACCAGAGAATCAGCTGAACCCATGCCCCTAAGCATTCCTCCTTTCCCTGGCTGACTCCTGGCTCTCACAGGATGACTTGCGGTTGGTTAGGCAGTTACTGATTGGTTTCCCTGTGAGGTTCTTCACTCCTTCCCATAAATAGACACCCTGCTGGTTCATTCCTGCTGTTCGCATTTGAATTCTCAAGCTGAACACAGGCAAGATTCCTAAGCTGGAATTTTTGATATGTGTTTCTAGGTGTAGAAAGGAACATGGGACTTTTAATATACTGGAGAGAAAGTTTAGGAGGGATGTGTTAATGTCTCAAAATACCTAAAGGATTGCCCAGTGGAAAGGAAGATTAATTTGCTTCTGACAACCAAGACAATAAATGAAGGATACAGGACAAAAAAGAAAAGATAATAGCTAAATTTAAGCAAGAACATTCTAATCGTCATAGCTATGCAAGGACAGCTGTTCTGGGAGAAATGAGCTCTCTGTTTCTAGAGGTATTCAAGCAAAGGCTGAATGATAAATAGCAGGATGGCCCCAAAAATGTATTCATGCATTAGTTGGACTAACTGACCTTAAGCAAGGGTGGCTCAAAATTCCTCTGTGAGATCTTTGGTTCCCAATCTAAGTTGGGAGACATACTGGAGAGTAAGGGAGGTTTTAATAATTGTCTTGAAGTTGTTTTGCATAATTATTTGCATAAAATTAAGAAATATAATTATCCTTATTAAAACATAAAATGATAGGCAGAAGTGATCTTTCACTCAGTCTACAAACACTTGTTGAGTCCTTAGTCTGTGGCAGGCACCTTTCTAGACTTGGGGCAGACTGATGAGCAAGACAAAGTTCCTCTTGAGCTTGGATTCCGGGTAGAGGCTGAGAAGGACCTGGAGAGATAAAGAAAAGGTGGATATATGTTAAGACACTCCATCAACTTCGCTTTTTATCACTTTCTCTAGGGTCTTTTTTCCCATGACTTTCTCTGAGGCACAATTCTCTATCACCACTATAACCAGATTAAAGGGGAAACAGTTGACAGATGGCAGATCCATCTCTGATTCTAAGAGACGTGACAAGTGATTTCTCCTACTCGCTGTTTCCCTCTCTAGACTCAACATGGAAAGAGCAACAACTCTCGTTCACATAATATAGTTTTAAATAAATGCACCAGAAAAGAATGTGGAATCTGTTATCAAGAGTTACCATATGAATCCTCCTCTATTTTATATAAGAGGAAAGGGATAGAAAAAGTCTTTCTGGATCAGATGTGACAGAAATGTGGGTCAGGTGTCCTTTAATTCCCTGGGAATGTCTGCGACTTTCCAAGGACCAAACCTTGCATTTCCCTTGGAGTTTCTCATGGCATCAGATCTTCTGAACCCCCACTGTTTCCATCCCAGAATGGATTCTTGGAAATGAAACAGGCCTGTTAAAAAACTCTTTTTTTAATGCAATGAAGGATGTAAGGAAACTGGAGGAAGTTCAAAGAAGAATAACAAGAATGATTAAGGGGCTGAGAGCATGATTTATGTTGAATGATTAAAAGGATTAAACATGCAGAACTTGGCCAACGCTACATACTTAGCTACAAAAAAATCAAAATTAAGTGCCAAAGCTCTCAGCTCCCATGAAAAATACAAATTTGCATATAATTTGGCACATATTTCCATGCAAAGTTCAGCAGAGCTCTACTGAGGCAGCATTCACAGGATGCCAAAACCACTTGTCTGGTCAGTTTAAAGCACAGCCTGGTCATATCAGTTAAAACTTGCTATTTGACCTAATTGAATAGACAACTGAATCAAAATATGCCCACCCATGGCCACATCCATTTGTGACGCATCCATAAAGTATAAAAAATAATGTGACATGCAATCATTTACCCAAGGGTCACAGGCTAAAATCCCTACATTGGGCAAACAGGTAGCTGAATGAAAGAAGTGGCTAAGCTTGGAGGGCGCATGGCCCATTGAAAGAAAACAGCCACTAAGGGCTCCAGCTCATTGTTGCCATGAGGGGATTTTGGCTGAGGGTAACCAGGTCTTCTCAACAATCAAATGAAGCCAGTGATTTGGGGTGCTTTCAGGAGCAGGTAATGAAAAACCAGCTCAGAGAGGAGAAGCCAGCAGCCCAGAGTTACACATCTTCAGAGTAGAAAGCAGGGTCCATAGGGCAAATATAGGAGGAGGAGGAATGGATGTGAGGAGGTAACCAACTTGCAATCATTAGAGTTTAAAATCCAGATTATTACATTAAAATATCTAATTTTTAAATAAGTAAACACTGCTGGAAAAGTCATTCTGTAGGATACCAGCTTGCCACCTCTTATCTGGCTGACTTTGTTTCAGAGTTAGAAAAACTGAGGTCAAGAGAAAGGGAAAGACACTCTCAATGACATAGTAAGTGGATTATCCAAATAAGAACTGAGCGAGCGGGAGCAGTCTAAGTCACCTCTAGGCTCATAACTTTCCACTTTCCTAGCTCTGTCTATCTGTTAAAGAAAGAGGCTGGAACACATGAGTTTTTTATTTTCTCAGGGCTCTCAGCCTGCACTCTATTAGGACTCACTTGAGGAAAATATACCTAAGAATTTTATAATTATAATCCCAACATGTATAGGCACATCAACATACATTCACATGCAAGCTAAATTGGGCACTAATGAATTTGAGGGGAGGGTGTTTTATTATAGGCCTGTGTACCATAGTTTGCTGAGGTTATGCATTGCACAAGTCTCGGGGTGCCAAAGTGAGGTGCATACTACATATGAGCCATCAAAAGAAGGTATCAGCCTGGCCGTGTGAACCCTGACACATTGGTGTTGAAATTCTGACACAGCACAGCTCAAATGAGCTAAAACTTCATTTGCCAAATTGCCGTGATTTCTGGTACCTGCTCCCTGCCCACCTGCAGGTACAGTGGCTTCCGGAGAAAGAGAAAGAATCAGAGAAGAGTTTTGATGAAAAATTTAAAAAATGGTTGTAGCTCAAAAGAGTGAAGTGTTCATTCTAGCAGGTGGACACAACTTTGAGTAAAGGAGAGCAGTGGTCATTTTCAAAAAAGGAACATTGAACTAAAAACCTGAAAAATTATGACAGCAAGAATTATGAGATGGGGGAAATATGTGGTAAGGGAGGTGGTGGAATTGCCATCCCTGGAGCCATTTGGAAGTCAGCAGGATAAGGAACTAGAAAACCCGTTCTAGGAAAGAATCCTCCACTGATTCCCCTGGGCCTCAGGGATGATATCATGGGTCTCCTTCATCTCTAATTGCCATCATTCTTAGGCTTTATGTATTTTCCAGGGCTTTCTACTGTTGCTATTAGACCAGCACGGCACTCCTCCAAAAAGTGTGTCTGGGGGGTGGGGGGTGGGAGAACAAACTCCTAAGAAACCATAAACTAGTTGCTCCAAGGAGCATAAAGAGTTGCCCAAGTGGAAATGATGCGTTGTAAAATTCTCCAGTGTAAATTTCATTATTCCCTGAAGATAGTCTACCAAGATGAAAGACCTTATCATCATTTTACTTCATTTCTCTGGTTTTCTCTTTCTGGTTTATTTTAATTTCAGGGGAGAAAAAGCAATGGGACTGCAAATTCTCATAGCGTGGCTGAAACGGATTTGCATTTTTTTTCTCTTTCCATTCACTGATAT